TACTCCAAACTCGACCCAGCAAGGTCAATTTTAGCGCTACTCCCCTCGCCGGGGAGGAGTACAGAAGTCGATTTTAAGAGCCCTTTAAATTGACAGAACAGGGTTGGTTGTGTGGAGGCATCCTTTTTAAAATCGACCTACACAGCTAAATTCGACCTAACCCCGTAGCGTAGACCAGGGCTCAGAGACATGAAGGATCGAGTGGTTGGATCCACTTACAACAGTCCGTACAGAAAGGGGGATTGGGCCATGTTAGGACAACTTCTATCAATACACTAAAGCCACTCACAAGAAGAAATCTTCACTGTGTAGCTTATTTACATAATGGCTAGTCTCCAGAATAAAATTCCTTTACTGGAAATGTCAAGAGAAAGTCCCTATATTTGTAGACGTTGAGCCTTGTGGGCTGTTTTGACCTTCCAGAGGTCTCCAAATACAACCGTATGTGACAAAACAAGACAGTCAACAGATTGCTACTGGACTTTATGGAATGTGAAATTTACTGTGGATTAGTGGCACTTCCATGGGCTGTCCTTAAGCTAGGGCCCTAAATCCTATCAACAGTCTGTCACAGATGGCGCAGCAGAAAAATGTATTCTGAAATTGTAAGAGGAAAAATAGGACACCAAGCTGCTGATTGTGATATAGATGAATGTCTGGACTATTCGCTAAACCTATCATGTAACTCAATACTCTAGAAAATAGGAATTCCTCATGAATTGCCATTAACATTACCAAATGTTCTCACTAGTTATTAGCATGAGAAGATGTGTTGAGAAGGACGTGATCAAGGCTGCAAGGAGACTGATTCATGATCCATGAACACACTGTAAACATATACTAACATTATGCAATGGGAAAGAGGCTATCTGGGTCTATTCATATCCCTAGCTCATTTTGCTCTCTCCAAGTGCCAACCTTCTTGACTGGCTTTTATCTGTAGTTGTCCAATGCATTAAACAAAAACTGTTTGTATGCAAGTGTCTCCTAAACCCCCTTATGGCCTGGTCTTTTCTTACCTTCAGTTCATACCCCTTTATATTTTAATCTGTCACCATTTGACCACTGTCCTGTAGCTTACAATGACTTAAGCACAATCCTCCTTGCCCCTTTTTAAACTCAATCCATATTGAAATGAACATTTCTCTACTGTACAAGGCACAAGTCCCTACTTTGTCTGCCCCATTTTATTCAGGACTCTCTCCAGGCAACCGTTCCCCTCCTCTGTGACACTGACTGTACCAGTTTCATGTCATCTGCCAATGTGACTGCAGTGTTGTGTATTACATTTTCCAAATTATCAATACAGAGTATGGATCTTAACAGCGATGCCTTTGGCTATTTATATATCTCCTTCTCAATCCTTATCCATTTATCACTATTCACTGACTTCAGCTGCCAAGCCAATATTTTATCCACTAGAAATTTCCACAATCAGTACCCTACTCATTAATGTTTCATGCTAACATCTTTTGGTGCGATATTGCATCAAAAGCCTTCACGAAGGCCAATAACACACAGGTTATGCCTGTAGCTTCACCTCTGTCAACTCTCATTGACACCTCCTTGTAGAAGTTGATGAAATTTGTTAGGCATGACTTCCCTTCTCCAAATCTGTGCTGACTGCCCTTCATTATTCTTGTAGCCGTACAAAAGCATTCTCATCTTTCATCCTTAATCACTGTTTCTAGACTCTCTGAATGGAGATGTCATATTTCAGGTCTCTGGGTTCTTGCTTTTTCCCTTTTTTAGAGGTAAGAGATCACATTAGTTTTTCTCCAGGTCATATGCACCTGTTACATGTGAAGAGGCAAAAATCTCAGGTACTAGCTGAGATTTCACCTGAATGGTGTAGATCTGCTTCCTAAGGGTCCTTACTTAGCTTTGAACTTAAAGATATGCTACAATAACCCACTACTTTAATCCCTTGGTTATCACAAATTCATAATAATTCATTTGGCAGAAAGCTTAGAAAGGATTCTAAACACTGAAAACCCCTCAGGGAGGGGGATTCTGGCCCTTTTATCCCTCTGGCATACAATATATCAGAGCATATTGTGGGTGTGCCAGAGGAATAGGGCACAACGGGAGCAAGTGCTTTAGTCTAGAGATTCCCAACTTCTCGGAGGCCACAACTAGATGGTGTAGGTTAGAGCATCCCTGAGTCTGCTCTAACTTACACAAGTATCCCACAGCAGCCCTAGGGATAAGAGGAACATAAAGATGGCATGCAGCCATCACCCTTTGCCATCTTGGACCTAAAATTGTAGTCAGATGTGGAAAAGCTTTTTCCAGTTTGAAGTCTTCTTTTAGAAGAATACTAAAATGCTAAGAGGTAGTGCCCTGTTAAACACCAATTTTCCTTTAAAAACAAGCACACACCACAGAGACCACACTGCTCACATTGCATATCTTCAAATTAAGTTAATGGAATGGCAAGTCACATTGATCTCTAAGGACATAGCAGCTTTTAAGGCTTGGATAGATAGTAACTGAAGTCATTCCATCGCCTCAAAAGCCTGAGGAATAGTTCTGTTTGTTTCTCTATCAGATGGGCTGACTGAGATTTGAAATTCAGATATGCTTGCCAAAAAATATAAATAAGCTTTAAAAAAGGGTGTGTGTATTATAATCAACATACCTGTTTCTACATAGGAGATATTTAGAGTGAGGTGGCATTCTGTATTTCTTTCCACAAATAAGATGAGTGGTAAAATTCAAGGGTGGTGGGGGGGGAAGAGGGAAGGGACAAGGGAGGAATAACCATATTCAAATTAAAACCTGCACTCTTTTGGCTTTCCACCTAATTTCACTGCAGTGAACATGCACTTCTTCCCATCAAAAATGCCTTTCCCCCCACCATGAATAACTCCCTTTGCCCAATGGAAGAAAGGGCAGCAGGCACAGACCCAAAGGGAAAACAAAAGAAATAAACCAGATCTCTGGAATGCCTTCTCTTAGATTTGCTGGTGCGCTTAACCATGTTCCAAGTGCACCACCAGAAATGCATTCAGCAGCCCCAGTGTTTCATTTCACACCTATCAGGCTGGGAGAAACTTAACTGAAACAAACCTTTAGCCAAAGGACTGTTCATCTGAAGCCCACTGAAATAAATGAAAAGGCATCCATTTACTTAAGTAGATTTAAAATCAGGCCCAAGGTGCATGGATGGCCACTTAGGTGCCCCTTTGGGGCAGGCAGAAAATGTCTACAAGGAGCAGTAGAGGTTAATTTGATATGGCCAAGAATTACAGTACTTTGAAGGTCAACTGGAATGAAAACATGTTTTTAATCTTCTTATCTACTTACGAACCACTGCTTTTCTGTAGTCATTACAGAGTTAGAGAGATTTCCACATAGCAAGCTGGCATGTTTATCATACATTGACCTACATACACCTCCCTTAGTTTCGTGGATTCTAGAAGAAAGGCAGATGTGGATCCACTGGCGACTATTTGTGCTGACTGCATTTCTATCCCTGCAACAGTAACTTAGGGGGAAGGATGGGTGAAAAGACCTCTCCTCACCAACACATTTTCTTCTTTGGGCCCCTGCCTAAAGGAGGATCCAGGTGGATGCCCTACATATTCCCCCCTGTCTTATTTCAAGGACTATCTATAGAAAGAATGAATGAGTGTAAGACCAAGTTTTCTGGACTCAGGAAATTGAGTATTTGGAGCATAGCCCCATGAAATCAACACATGCTTCCTTCTCAAAGCTCCAGTGAAAGTGGCAAATATCTTGAAATTTCTCATCTTAGGCAGGGGATAATCCCTTCCTGATCCCAAATTTGGTGTTCACCTCCCTTCCATCTTCTACATGTCTGTTGACTCCGCACTTTTCCCTCCATCTGCAAGAGTGTATCTTGTTCCCAGACACATGGCCAATCAGTCCAGAAAGGTGGCCATTGAGTGATCCATCATCACCCAGCAGTATGTGGAGCATGTTTGTGACCCACCTGAGCTCTGGTGGCCCTTGGTGTGAAACCCTCAGATTCACACCTGTGCCTGGATTTCCTAAACATAGTATCCATGTGCTTCCAGGTTGGCCAGCTGCGGTAGATTGTTCATGTAGGGTGGGATTTTCAAAGGTGAAAGTCAATGAGAGTTGAGCATTTAATTCCCTTAAGCATCTTTGAAAACCCTAAGCATAGTTCTCAGCAGCATCTAGACAGGAGGAAGTTGCACCTTCAGTCAAGTCACAATGTAGCGTACAAACCTTTTATAGGTTTGTAATTTTGTTGTAGTACATACATCTCTCCACCTTCTATTCGGGGAAGTAAAGATGACGCATCCACGATACCATGATACATAATACTAGTAACTCAAATAAATCTGTATTTTGTCACTGTGTGTGTCGATACAGATGGATTTATATATAAGCAAATATTTTTAATTATATGACTTGGTACAAAACAAAATTTGGAAGACATATGCCTAGAAGAAGAATAAATGCACACATGAATTAGAGTTCGAGCTGGATCCCTCACTGAATCAGTCATGTGAAATCTGTTTTGCTTTCTTTAAATGTTGGAGAAGCAATTATTTATATTAGAGTAGAACCTATAAAGCCCAGACGGTGTGAAGTGCATAACACAACAGGGCACCAAAACACACAATAAAAGAGTGCCTCTGCTCTAGAAAGCTTACAACCTACACAGACAAGAATAGGAAAAAAAGTATTATCTCCATTTTAACAGAGGCACAGAGAGTAAATGACTTGCCTGAAGTCACATGGAGAGTCTATGGCAGAACCAGGAATTTTACCCACATCCCATCCCCTGCTCTGCTGAGTCCAAACCAAGTGTCTAAGCCATAAAACCATAGCCACATAAATCCTTCCCCTTATGCATTCCCAACCTTTATTTTCCTAAATAGGAAAGAGACACCAGAGAAGGCACTCTTGAGCTCCCAGGATCAAACTCTTATTTTGGATTCATGACGAACATTCCTATCTGTGGAAAAGAAGTGGAGAGAGAGGAGAGGCAGACCAGAACTCACCATCTGATTCCGAGGCTGCTCTGAAGATCAAGTAGCTGCTGGGAAGAGGCTGAGTGATGGAACCAACATTCTCTCCCTTTGGGCCCTAGAGTCACACAAACAAGAAAAAGGTAAGGCAAAAAGGAGGCTGTAACAGTTCTGTGAATTTTTCCCTTTCATGGGCCAAGTGTATTTGTGAGGGGGAAGAAGAGGAACAGATGGAGTAATTTAGAGAGATCCATTAGTAACCAGGATATTCCAGCCACTGCTCCAAAGTAGTAATAAGACGTTGACGCAAGTCTGGCTCAGCCCAAAGACCGATTTATTGTCAGTACCACTAGCAATGTAGAAGTATACCCCCAGAACTGAAGAGTTTTGCTCCTTTAGCTTGTGAACAAGCCTACAGAGAAATGGAAAAGAAAAACGTGCAATTACTGCATCTCTTACACAAGACTTTTCAGCACAGCGCTCGCTGCCGAGTCCATCTGCAGTATTGCAACACCAGTGGCAAAAAGCCTCAGCTTTCCTCCATCACTGGAAGAACAGCAGGTGACACTCACACCTCAGATGGTGGCATCAGCCTTTCCAGCAGGCTGGTGCCACGAAAGCCGGTTTGCTCTTAAATTATTCAGTTAGTCCTGCTAATGCTAATGTAAATCACTGTGTGTTGTCCCGTCCTGCTGTTGGCTTCCGAGTGCCTTGCATCTCTCTTTCTGCCAGTGTTAGAGGTGGATAAGCTTGGAAGTCAGCAGATGGGGATTGGAGTGGCCCAGTGCAGGCTCCTAACCTGAATCCTTCACTGGCTTCGTGTGGCTGACTGAGGGATAAATTCTGGGGCATTTCAGTGGCAGCTTTTCTGAAAGGCCACAACTGAAAGAAGGAAGAAAAAGAGAAGGATATGGTGCTTTGAAAGGTGAGCTAGGAGAGGGCATGAAGGCTTCACTGTAACTAGGTGTTCTGTAGTGCAATCTCTCTCTCTAGAAACACCTACCTCATGGGTTCTAAGCAGAGAATTACTTCAAGGACACAGAGGAGGGTTGTTTTTTTGTTTGTTTTTTTTACTGTGCAGTCTGCAGCTAGGAGGCAGACACTGACCCTCCTTGGGAAGGAGCATAAAAAATTCTCACAAAGGCAGACTCCAGCTAAGGTTTCCTTGGTACAAAGGGAAGAGTACATTCGCTATTACACCCCTTCAGGGGAGTGTGCATTCTCTCATCCGTGATGTACATTTAAAGGCAACAGCTATGCCTGATTGATGCACAGGTGTGCAAGGGGTTGGGTTGGAGGCTACCTCTGCCCTCCACCTATATGCAGCAGGACACAACCTGGCTATGGACAAGGGGGAGCCTCTTGCCTCCTGGTTTTCTATTTCCAAAGTGACACCCTTAGTCCTCTGTTCCCTCCCTTCCCCACCAATGCACTGCAGGATAAATCACATTGCAAAGAAACAACATAAGCAGAATTTCCTTTGAGAACAAGGATGACAAATAAATTAGTCACTGTGTAGTAGGAGACATCACTGACTTCTGCACTTATTTATTCCACCTGCAGTTGGCCTAAAACAGATCTCTCCAAGGCCCCATTCAAAGCTGTATCTTTAATTGATAGAAAGCTGTGAACACAGCATTTGAAAAATGTTTTAGCACATGGATGTAAGGTAGCTTTTTCCATCTCTGCAGACATCTCCTGCCTGACGTAAGGCTTCATATCTCCATATCCATATCCCATCCTCTCTAACAAACTGTTTTCTGTTTTCTCTGTGCACCATACTGCACCAATTTTTATCCCCAAAATTATAATTCATGCGGTGGGTGGGGAGGATCTGACTTTTTTCAGTGAGTTAAGAGGGACCCCCTGAGCCCCAAACTCATACTAGAATTCTCCATCATTGCCTGCTACTCTCAATTGCTCCTGTGAATGAATGTCTGGCAGATGGATTGTGCAAAGTTACCTGTATTTTTTTTAAGCTGTTTGTAGGGCTGGGAATGGGAAGAAGGGCAAGTCAGAAGATGGAAGACATCTTGATATGGACACGGATTTGACAACATGTCCAGTAGTTTGCATTCATTCTCTCTGACCCAATTTCTAATCCCTGGGATTTCCAGGCTCTGCAGAGGCTTCATTTACGGTCTTCCTCTGCCAGGGAAATGACAGGTCTTTATTACTCATCAAAACAGGGAGCACCAAGAAACACTCCTTTCACGAGGTGCTTGAGATTTAGAAACCAAAAACATCTGTATGGCGATTTGATATGCAGGACTGGCAAAGTTGGGATTTGATAAGTGATCCGCAGCCCAGCCCCTCAAGACATTACTACTGACATTGATGCAATCAGGCAGCATTCCTTGTGACATTTTTCCTTTCAGGAGCTTTCAGCTGAATGAGACTTTGGAGAATCGTTGATAACACCATAGTATGGATTTTCAATGCACACATTGAAGCCTGCCTTATAGGGGGAAGCCCACGAACAGATGGTGCAGATCCAGGGTACTGACATTTAAAAGAAGAGTAGATGGCACAACGTTTCAAGAGACTTTTATGCAAGTGGAAAAATATTACAGTGACCAAATAATGGTCTGTCAGACAGATTTAGTAGTCACACACGGGTAAAAGGATCATGACACTGAGACCACTCTTAACCGCCCCCCCCCTTAACAATTCTACAGAGTAAGTGAAGTTTCCTATCTGTAAAATAGGGATAACAATCCTTCCTTTCTCCCACCTTTTTTCTGTCTTGCCTATTTAGACTGTAAGCACATCAGAGCAATGACTGTCTCTTACCATTAATGTACAATGCCTCGCACAATGGGCCCCAATCTCAGTGGCAGCCTCTAGATGCTACTGTAATACAATTAATACAGGGAAGTCTTTGGGTCACTCATCTTCAGGGCAGTGAAGGGCATCACCCGAAAAGGATACGTTTGTGGTTCTAAAAAAGGATTGGATTTACGTTACCATGTCAGAGAGTAAGGACTCTGGAAGAATTATGAAAACCAAAAAAAGTAGTTAGTCGATGCATACGCGGAAGCTACAGCCATTCAGTATGTCGTTTTTAATTTTACTTTTGCTTTTATCACCAAAGACAGGCATTAAAAATACGATAGAGAGGTATCATCCACGTGGATGAAAATGAGCAAAACAAGTTTGGGCTGGAGATTAGAAAAGCGTGCCTAACGGAACGATCTAAACGATAGGAGCAGATTGTAAAAGTTTCCCAAGGAATGTGATAGATGCGCCATCACTTCAGTTACTTTAAAAATAAAATCTAAAGGGGGAGGGGGCTCGTTCAAAACAATGGGTGTATTTGTTATTTTATTGATTGATTTCAATTTCACAGGTACCTACACTGGATTATTTGCTGCCATCGATAGGTGCCCGAGTAACTGAAACAAACAAACATTCCCACACTGTGTTGTTCATCCAGTTAAGTCAAATGAAAAAAATCTAAAAGTGTTTCAGGACAATAGGATGATCCAATACATTACCACAAATCTAACCACCTGACTGCTATACAGTGCATCCGTACACAGCCCCAAAATAATCACCATACTGGCATTATCTGGTACTCTGCCGTAGCCTGAGCAGGCACAGACCCAAACTACACTCCCATTATAAAGTGGTTTGAAGATACTGCCAGAATCATGCGGGGAAGGTCTCTCAGTCACTGCTTGTGGTGTAGAGAGAGAACTTAAGATCTCAGCGCTGTTAATTTAGCACCTGTCAAAAGCATGAGAACAGACTGGGCATTTTTATTTCGTTATGAAGCAGGAATGATCACATCCTAGACGAAAAGCAACCAACTTTAGAGAAGCTATTTATGTTCACAAGCCTAGTGAGCCACGTAAAATGAAGCGAACTCTCTATCCAGGCAAATGATTCTAATTTACAGTGTGGAAGCCAGTCATTTTTATCAAAAAGCATTTAATGCAAATCAGCTGGTGCTCTTTAAGTATGGGTTACACGGACATTTAGAAGGTGCATGCCCTAACAATATTATTGAAGTTACTAAATTCAGCGGTCTTTCACCCTAAATACACTGGTAATCAATTGACAGGCACCTCAGAGTTTGAGATTCTGTTTTAGTTTAAATTAAACGATAGCCCATTAAACTGAGTTGATGAACGCGACTGTAAATGCTAGTCTAGACAGCTCCACAAACATTTGTTCTAGGGCTTACGGCTGAGCCCTGGGGTAACCACAAATATCTGTGTCGTTTAACAAATGTTAGTGGAGCATCCAGACTAGCATTGACAATTGTGTTAACTGGCAAACAATTAACTAGAGTTAAAACCCAATCACAAATTCTAGTCTAGACAATCCCTACGTTTCAGGATCCGTCATCTTGTTTTAACAGGCAGTGGGAATTCTTGGCCACATCTTGGTTCCAGTATTATAGATAATAATTTTAACTTGTGCTGGAACAAAGAACCCATCTATAATTCATGAGAAGCGGGCTCTCTTTGCACCATTAGACAAAACCAATTTACACTAGCAAATGCTCCACTGGTTGCCTTACAACAGAGGTGGGCAAACTACGGCCCGCGGTCCACATCCAGCCTGCGGGACCATCCTGCCCGGTCCCTGAGCTCCTGGCCTGGGAGGCTCGCCCACGGCCCCTCCCCTGCTGTCCGCCCCTCCCCCACAGCCACGCCGCTGCGCGGGAAGTGCTCTGGGCGAAGGGGGTGCGTGCTCATACAGGGCAGCATGTCTGGCTCCAGCGCCGCTCCCAGACATGCTGCTCTGAGCAGCACGGTAAGGGGGCTGGGAGTCCTGGGGGGCAGTCAGGGAGCTGTTAGATAGGGGGTGGGGGGGGAGTCAGGGGACAGGGAGTGGGGGGAGGTAGATAGGGGGTCGAGTCCCAGGGGGTGGTGGCCCTGGGAGGGAGTGGTCCAGGGACAAGGAGTGGGGGCAGGGTTGGATGGATGGGGTGTTCTGAGGGGGGCGGGAAGTAGGAGGGGGCAGATAGGGGGCAGGGGCCAGGCAGTTTGGGGAGGCACAGCCTTCCCTACCTGGCCCTCCATACAGTTTCGCACCTCGATGTGGCCCTCGGGCCAAAAAGTTTGCCCACCCCTGCCTTAAAAGTATGCAGTGAAGTGACATAAAATAAAAAACAGTATTTCTGGCAGCTTCAGCATTTACCTGCTGTCAGAGTGCAAACAGCTCCTTTGACATCAAGCAGTTCATTAGAGATGGCCTTTTGCTGCTCTCTTGGTGTTCATCTTGTGGCCCAAAGTGGCTGTCACACACAGCAATCCAACCTGGGGGGGTTCCTAATACACAGTTCAAATGCAGCATCCCTAATATCCAGCTCAAGATATCCAAATGAACTACTCTGACTCTAAAACCCAAATATCTCATGATTTTCTTGTTTTCCATAACAGCGTTCAGGAAAATCCTTTCACTTTTTAATATACAGAATATAATATATGTATTTTATATGACTCCTTTCTGTTGGGTCAGTCTTGCTGAAGGAAAAAGCATTCTGACACCACAAGATGCTTCCAATTGCAAAACCGTACTACTTTCTAATCCAGAGGTGGGCAAACTACGGCCCGCGGGACCCTCCTGCCTGGCCCCTGAGCTCCTGGCCCGGGAGGCTCGCCCCCCTCCCCCGCTGGCCCCCCCCGCCCCCCCGCAGCCTCAGGGCGCGGCGCCCCCGGCACAACGCTGTGGGTGGCCGGGCAGCACAGTTGCAGAGCCGCGGCCTGATCAGGGGCGGCTGTAGTCCCATCAGCCACCAGTGTTCCAGGCAGCGCAGGAAGGGGGCAGGGAGCGGGGGGGCGGGGGGTTGGATAGAGGGCAGGGGAGTTGGGGGTGGTGGTCAGGGGACAGGGGTGTGGATAGGCGTCAGGATGGTCAGAGAGCAGGGAACAAGGGGGTTGGATGGGGCAGGGGTCCCGGGGCGGGGGCAGTCAGGAAGGAGAGGGGGGGTTGAATGGGGTGGCGGGGGCAGTCAGGGGACAGGGAGAAGGGGTGGTTGGATGGGGCAGAGGTTCCAGGGGGCAAGTCAGGAGTGGTGGGTCCAGGGGTGGTGGATGGGGTACGAGTCCCGGGGATGTGGGGGCTGTCAGGGGACGGGGCAGGAGTCCCAGGGAAGCCGTTGGGGGTGAGAAGCTGGGGGGGGGTGAGAAGCTGGGGGGGGGGGTGGATAGGGGGCAGGGGCTGGGCCATGCCTGGCTGTTTGGGGAGACACAGCCTCCGCTCACCAGCCCTCCATACAATTTTGGAAACCCAATGTGGCCCTCAGGCCAAAAAGTTTGCCTGCCCTGTTCAATTTGTTCTCTCTCACTGCACTTTTCAGATGAATTCAGTTGACCTCTGTCTGCTCACAAGGAACTGTTGTGGTGATGGACAGCAAATAAATGACAGCTTTCTTGGATGCAGGACATGAACCAGATGAACAGAAACTTGAAGGCTGAACAAAAGCCAAGTGGTAGGTGAACTACAATGCCTCATACACCTTTGGCACAAGACCGTATAGTGCAAAGAAAAAAGAGTCAAGACACAGACTGAGGCTAGGCTAAAACCCTTGTGAGGAAACAGTAGCTCTTACTCTTTGTTGCTGAGGTCCATTTAATTTTCTACCACTAGCTGGATTCAGTTTAGCAGAACTTTATCTTACAAATAGTTCCTTTGACTTCAAAGTGACTACCCATGAAGCACAGTGAGTAAGGTTGTCAGAATCTGGCCTCATACATCTGCTCTCCCATTTTTGCCAGACCCTTTGGTGCCAGAGTAATGAATGCCATCAGCCCTGGTACATGACTCCTTCCAGGCATCTCTGCTATGCTGGCCTCCCTGCAGTAACATCATAATCAGCAATGCCTTGTTTAGGCTGGTAATATTTCTTAGGGAATTTATATCTGCAATAACTCTGTACAGATGCTATTTTTAATAGTGGAACAGAGTCAGAGTAGCTAAGAGCTTTTTCTTCAGGGCATCAGACAGATGTTACGGTCTGTAAGGAGTGGGGGCATCCTCCTTAATCACAGCTAATGGCAAATGCTGTTTCATCCCACCTTAGAGAAATAAATATATTTCTTTAAAACTTTGGGTGAGTTATTGATATCATAAGTTTCCAGAAATGCCACTCTGCATATCACTCTGATGCCTAAAACGTCTGCACAGTCAGCGAGAAGTGATGGAAACAGCTATATGCATGGTTAAGAGCTCTTTTTGTTCAGAATATCACCAGGCTGAATCATCACTGAGTTTTGCAGTCTGCTACTGTCCAATTGTCAGTGAGTTTCACGTAATGAATTATACCTTTGTGGTGTAAGTAAGGCATGCATCTATGCTAAGTCAAGAGTCATAGATCATATAGATATCACATGTAACTCAACCAATCACCACGTTTATTCTACAGCTAATTTGCACGCGACAATTTCATTGGTTATATGAGGGAGGCTGAACAGATGGTGGATTACTTGGTCCAAAACTGACACTCACATAAAAACACAAGTGTCCCAGTACAAACCGTCTTAAACATAAATCAACACAACCAGCACACACAATAACCGCAAACACACAGATCCCCTCACCATAGCATGTATCCCACATTCACCACCCACACAAGTCTCCCAACACAACCCCCGCATAATAACCCTAAATATCACTCTGAAGCCTAGAATATCTGCTGCGTCAACCTGAAGTGACGGGAAGAGCAATGAGAATGGATGAGAGCTCTTTTTGCTTAGAATATCAGCAGGTTCAGTCATCACTGGTATTCCCAGTCTGCTACCATCCAGTTTTTAAGTTCTCAGCCATTTTTGGCTCTCAGCCTCCCCATGACTTTATGAATTATACCCATGTGACAGCACAGCCTTTCAGCTACTAGTTAAAAAATATAAACTGCAGGATCTGTATCTTTCAGATGGGTGGAATCAATTATTGGTACTATAGTGGCACCTAGAAGCCCCAACGGAGATCAAGATTCCGTTGTGCTAGGCACTGTACACTGTCCCAAACAGCTTACAGTTACAACAGACAAGAGAGACTAAGGATAGGAGAAAGGAAGTATCGTTAACCCCATTTTACAGGTGAGGAACTGAGGCACAGAGGGATGAAAGTCACACAAAAGAAGTTTGTGGAAGAGCCAGGTTTTGAACACAGATCTCTCCAGGCCCAGTCCAATGCTGTAACCACAAGACCAGACTTCCTCTCAATCACAGAACATTAGAGCTGGAAAAGACCAGATCAATCATCCATTTCACCTCGCTTTGCCAGGGCAGATTGTCTCTTGTTCTGCACTGTACAGCACTTTAAATTCTACCTAACCCTCCCACATTCAGCAGATTATTCCACAGTCTAACACATCTGACTGTCAAGGAGCTTTTCCCTGTATTCAGACAATCTTTCCTCCTTTCTTTAATTTCAGTCACGTATCTATGCACCATAAATTACACTTATATAGCCCACCTCAATAGCTCCACATTCTTTTGATCTGGTATTAAAATCAAATTTAATTTAATCAAGTCCCTAATTTGCCTTAAGTAACGTAATCTGTTTTACTAGGACAAGACAAAGCTGCCCTTCCAGTCTGCTGGGAACCCTGCTTCCCCTCCCCAAGCATATCCCCCTCTGCCTCAGAGAATTTGTTGTTGTTTTTTTTTTTTTGGGGGGGGGGGGGGGGGGGGGGGAGTTGTTCATCTCAGCACAATTGTTACCTTCACAGCCCAGATGGACTGATCCAAAGGGTGGAAGAGTTTAAAACAGAAGCCATCCTTTTTGGAGGGTCTCTCAATCAGCTCACAGGAATGGAGCAGGATGGTGCCCACCCACTGACCGATCTTTGGTGTTTTATAAATCAGCAGCACTCCTGGTTTCAGAACACACCACAGCTTGGTCCAGCTTTTCAGGGTCCCACGGATCTGGGAGGGAATTAAGCAGAGATAGTTCGGGGTTGTTTTTTTTTAAATTCTTAAATAAAGTATTTTAATCCAGTACAACGTGTTCAGCATGTGCCTCTCTCTCAAAGACAGATTTTGATGCCTTTATTTATGCTGCCTAGCACTGTACTCCTTTCGTAGTCTTGTCAACTTCAGTAGGCGTATTCATGGAAGAAGATATTCCACATGAGTCAGGATATCAGAATCTAGCCCTTACCATTTTGTGAGTTCACAGCCCCCTTTTATTACACACAGACAGACACTTATTTTTTAGTTGTTGACCACATGAGAATGATTTGGGGACAATGCTGATGGACATTTCAATTCGGCCAGTAAGTATTTAAAAGGTTATGTCTAGGCTAAGTGGCCTTAGAAGTTACTGTAAAGATCCGCTGTGGGAAACCACAATTAATAAGTTTAATCAAATATCCTCATTTTGTGAAGCACCTTTTCTGACTGGTTTACTTTTTGGTCATGCTCAATGCAAATTCTATCTCGTAGGCAACACATGAAGTCGGATAGCATACATTGCAGGTCAATGGATTCGGCTTTAGCCATTTTGAGGGTAAAAGAGTGTACCAGTAAAGTGAGACTTAGCTCTTCTTGCCCAACACCACACATGGGCTGAACCTCAATATGTAACCCTTTTGTTGGGGTTGCTGCTGTGAGAATACATAATAAATGGCTTGCTGTGGAGCTGAAGTTGTTTTAACAGCTTCGAACTCCTCAGGATAAAACTTTTTGCACATGAAGACAAATAATAAAATAAATCCTAAATGTTGTACAAAGACATTATTAATTTTAGTTCTCTAGCAGACTATGCTGTCTCCAGTCACCTAGAATCCACTGCTGATCACGAACAGCAGTGTTCACATTTGTAACAAATATAAATAAATCCTATTGTCTCGAAGTCCATAATTTAAAAACAACAACAATTTTGTTTTGTAAGTGTCTGAAACGGGGGGTTTATCATGGAAAGGGCACTGCAAACTGTAGTTAAGGGTCAGTTGTTGTTGTAGCTGTGCTGGCCGCAGAACACAAGAGAGACAAGGTGGGTTAAGTAATATCTTTTATCGGACGGAAGATGGTCACCTACAGTGACAGGAATCAATGTTCCTATGATAAATCAGCAACGCTACACAAACATGGACGTATTTGCTAGTCTCCCCCATCCACATCCCACAATTTCAATCAAATATTTGTTCTGTGGTGTATAAGTTTCAGGGCACAGTGATAAATTGTCAATATTCATATATCTTTGGACAAGGAGCAATTACATTAGTCAACTGGTCCAAAGTTTGTTCTGTATCAAACAAAAATCAAAAGCTTAACTGCTACAAACTTCAAACATCAATGAAACATCTTGTATCTGTCTGCTTAAAGGCAACTGCCATATCTCTTCCTTGTGCAGTGAGTTAACAAAGTTTCTTTGCAAGGAGAACAAAAGGGTGGGGAAAAGACCTGCAAGTCTTTCCAAGATGGCTGCTGAGACCTGGTTCCCGTTTCATTCTTCTCACTTTGCCAAGTGACCCCAGGCTATGTGACTTACAGCATTAGTAGCATATAGCTTCAAGAAATGGAATCACTAGACAAGATTAAGCAGGGTATTCCCTATTCTCACAACATTCGACTTTCCCTCAGACCCCCAAAACAGAAAAAGATGAGCACTGGGGACATGATAATCTCCAAGGCAGAAGCCTGGGATGGAAGACTGAGAGGGGAAAGGTGCTGAGACTTCCACTCATCTCTTCATTCTGAGATGCCACATACTCCCACTTCAGTTCCACAGAGATTGTAAAATGACTTTACTGATAACTGTCAGGAGATGCAGCAGGAGCCATGTATATTCTCCTTGACCTTCTCGTCTGAAAGGTAAATGCAGTTTTTCCCCAACTCCCAAAGGGGAAGGAGACTGGCATCCAGCAACAATGGGAGGCAGACATTTTGGGAAGGAGAGTGGAGGGAGAAACACAGTGGGGAACTCAGCAGCATCACAGGGACAAGAAGGTCAGACAAAACCCAGCCTTTTGGTAAAGTAACTCTTAGAAATCAGTAGGCAGAAGAAAAATTATATTTCTCACACACACACGCATACACACACGTGGAGAGGGGATTACAGGAATCAGTTGTGCACTGAACTGAGCTGGCTTCTAGGTTCTGGCCAACAAACAAAGCTCGGGCAGGCAGGGTGCAAATGAGCATTCAGCTAAGGCTGGTTGTTACACGAGCCACTAAGTATGGACAGACCACAATGGCCAAGGCAGGGAGTGGGAAACAACTTCAATATCCTGGTTGGAAAGAGTCCGATTGATGGGGTACTTGCTTTGAAGCTCATGCAATGAGAGTCAGGAAAAACACAACCCATACACCTATAGCAATCATCCACCTTGGATCCAACCCCCTTTATGTAGAGTATCAAAGAGGCTGAGAACCAGGAAAGATTAGCAAGAAGAGAATTCTGAATCCAACTCCTTAACATATGTGGGGAGAGGATCCAAAACTGCTGGACTTGGGGTAAACATGCTACCTCCAAGACACTGGATGAGCAGGGCAGTGGAAGGGGCAGATTTGACCAAAATGGGATGTGGTTTGCTCGTTTCCCAGGGGATTCTGCCATTTCACTTATAGAAATCAGCAAGGCCTTTGTGGTTGTCCTTCCCTTGAAGTTCTAGCTCCTTCTATTTGAGGACTAGAATGGAATCCAACACTACTTTTCAGTTAGCTACAGGAATTCTCTTTTCCCTACCTTGGTTCAATGTGATTCCTGTCTGCATGTGAAAAACTGGACATTTGATTTTCTTTTTCTACTGCATTACAGTTCTGTGCCTGTTTGGGACCCAACAAAAGAACTCCTCTAGATTGAGAGAGCTTCCAGAGAAGGTGGGATTACTTTTTAAACTACAACTCAGGACAGAACTAAGTGAAGCAAGTACTTGAGAGAGGATCTGAATGTCTTTGTTCCAATTCCAGTGGGGTTGACTGAGTGAAAGCAAGCAAGTCTTCTCCGCTCACTCAAAGGAGGATGCTCTTGGTACTACTGCATAAAACCCAAAATGCTACAGGATTTTCTCATCCATTTATTTATTCCTCCAGCCTCAGAAGTGATGTTTTGCATTAAATACCTTCAGCCAGTCTGCCATAATCACCACACTGGGATCCTTTAGAGCGCTGAAGAGTTGCTTGGTGGCTCTTTTCTTCTCCTGTCTGTAATTCTTCTTCTGTACCTGTTTCAGAATGGAGAAAATAGCAGCTATAAACATGTCATTTACTGCATGCTTTACTTAGAGAAGGAAGGCAACTTCTTACATAAATGTATCTGGAAAAGCAATTTATTGTGCAGATAGAGCCCTCATGAAACTTATCAGGCCTCACACAGGTTCCCTAGAAATCAACAAAATTGTATGTTCTAGTGACAAAAGTATAAGGGAACATAGAGAGCAGCCAGGATATCAAGTATCTTCATTGATAGCAAAATTCTACAAGAGTTCTTGATTTAATGTTCTTCTTATTAAACTTAGTTCTGTCAGTTACAAAGGTTACACAATCTGCTGTCGCCCTGCCTACAGAGTGATGGAGGCAGACTAGGGAATCCCTGTGAGAAGCTATGCAGAAGCAGATTGGAATTGAGGCATATAATCACATTTTCACCTAGACTAAATCTCCTGGAAAGCCATCCCTCGTGTAGACAAATTGAAACCTTTGAATCACACTAGGTATAAACTTGGCCACTTGCTTTAGATCAACATGTCAGGCACTTAGGGTGTGACACCTGTGCAGTGGTGAGCAAGCAGTGGTGTCATATCGATGTCAATATTCAAGGTTTCTTTCATTGTGTGGATCACATAGGTTATACCAGAGGGGCTGGCTCTACCATGTGGGCAGAACTGCCTATGGCAGCTAAACATTTATAACCAAGGTACTTGAATGTAGGGAACAAGGTACTGATATTTCCCAGTTTGCTGAAGGCAGCAAGAAGAGCCCTAAAGCTACTACCTACAATAATAATAGTAGTCCCTTATGCAAGACTGGTTTTATGAACCGCCTTCCTTACCCAAAAGCACCAGCTGACCTATTGCTTTGGGACGGTGATGAGAGCCAACTAGATGGTGTTAGAGCACACTCTGTGTGTTACTAATAAGAGCTAAAATGGATTACAATCCTCCTGTTGGTCGAAGGGCTCTGGAATATATAGGTAACTGTTTGGATGCATGGTGATTGTGTCGTTTTGTTCTAATTACAGAATATTAACGACTCCCACATGGAAGACTGGATACAGGAACAAACAGTTCTGAACCTGCAATGACCAAAAAAGAACGAGCAGCTTGATGGGTCATGGGAAATAACACTCAGAAGTAAAAGGAGAAGTAGTTTATGAGATTTTTTTTTTCTAAAAACTATCCATATTTTCTAAAAGGAAATAGCTTGGTGAACCACAGCCCAAGGCAACCTTTATTGTTTTGTACATACCTTCAATGTCTCCTTCTTAGTAAATTTGGCTGTGGGAGATACACACTCTTTATCAGACCCATTGCAAAGCTTATACTCAGTCTGAAAAATAAAAGAGGAGCAATGTGTTAATATTAAAATGATTAAGTGAAATGCTTTAATGAAAAGTTGATTACATCTTCCAGGAACCCACTGAAGGCAGATTGTAGACTTCATCAGCACAACATTAGACAAACTCACTCAGGAAGGGCACGTTTGTAGTGTAATCTGTGAACTTCCTTTTACACTTACAATTACTTAGAACTTCCCCCACCCCACCAGGTCTCTACACAATTTCCCATTGCAGATTCCTATCTGTAAACAATCCCATTATTCTCACTCTCGTCTTTGAAAACAACTTGTCCCTTCTTGGATCACAAATTTTAGGACATTTAACATCCTGAAGTAAAATTGGCTTTTCCTGATGACCATCAATTTTACCACCACATGTTTTCAATAGTCTTTGTGTTCAGCAGAATTTCAGTCCTCAAGGAATCTAAGAGGACAGAAACTGCTTGCTTACACACAAAGTCTCTCCTTCAGGTTAGGATTGCATGCACCTACTTCTCTCCACTGCATGAACACTACAGCCCATCACTTACATTGAGAAGTAGAATTAGAGAAGAACTTGACATTTTATTGCTTCTTTTCCTGTGGTTTAGCTAATGGAAACAAGGAGAGTTAGAAGCATATGTTCAGCCACTGGCAAATGGTCTGGAGACCACATTTTGAGAACTGCTGCAGTAACTAAAGACGAGGGGTTTGACCCCCATCTGGAGTATTTGAAATGCAAATTCCTAACCAGTCACTACTTTCTATAGGGTGGGGAAAATAAGTGCAAAAATTGCAGTTTACAATATGGACAGAAACACTGTCTAACCTATTACAGGTTCTTAAATACTTGCTTTTGGTATTCTTCCACTTGAAAAATAAATAAATTATAGTAGTAATAAATAAATACACACGACACTTCGAAATGAAAACTTGAGTAGTATATAAATATCTTTTTTCTATAAATAGGTTTGACCAACAACATTACAAGAATTTTTATTAATTAGCCTCGCTCAGAGACCATTCCTGGGAAATTCTCAGCTTCTGCCTCCACCCAACTATTCAGTGTTTTAATTTTTCTGGAAGGCCATGTTCTCGCTCTCTAGCTGCGATGCAGTCTCTTGCATGTTCTATATTGACTCCACACATGGGCCACCTTCTGACAGGCACAGGATTTACAACAGAGACCCATCCTGCAGCTAAGACCTCTACTAAAAAGTTAGGTGCGCATAACTAGATCATTCAAGGCTGTGAAAAATGTCATACGTTGGCTTAACTACATCACACAGGGTAAGCCCTAGTGTAGACACTGCTAGATCAGTGGAAGAATTGACCTAGCTACTGCCCCTTGGAGAGGAGGATTTTACTACAGTGATGGAAGGGGTTCTTCTGTCAGTATCTACACAACAGCAAGTGGCTTCAGCATTAAAGGGGTCTGTAGACACACCGTTACAGAGAGAATTCTGCCCTTAGAGTCTGTGTCACATTTCAAAGGCCAGCGTTACACATTTGAGAGCTACACGATTACATTTTTTTTTTAAATGAGGAAACTTCTGTAAGTGCCAGAAGGCTTTTTGGGAGAGAATTATCTGGGATTATAAAAACCATTATGTTTTTAATAAGACCAGAGAATTAGCCTCTAAAAATTGTCAGAAGAATTTTATATATTTATTTTGCACCAGTGTGCAAATGCCATGTTCTTGAGATGCAATTATGAGCCAAACATTGGGGGGAAGTGAAACACAAGGGATTAAGTACAAAGAACACTTCAGCCTGGTGAAGTGAGGAAAAATGAGGAAAATTAGGTCAGCATAACTACATCGCTCAGGGGGATGAAAAGTCTTTTGAGGGGCATAGCTAAGCTGACCTAAGTGCCAGTGTAGACTGTGCTAGGTTGATGGAAGAATTCTTCCACTGACATCACTACTGCCTCTCTGGGAGGTGGATTACCTACGCCAACAGGAATATCCCTCCTCTCCACAAAGGTAGTGTCTACACTAAAGGGCTGCAGCAGCGCCTCTGTAGCATTTTAAGTATAGACAAGCCCTTTCTGTACCCATTAGCTACAGTAAAGAAACAAGAAGTCACAGTTGGTCATCAGGTTCTGGGAAATCCTCCTCAAATAGGTATTTCTAAATAAAATATCAGACATTCTTTGTATCCTATGAACTGAACATTACAGGCTAAACTCACCCCTGGTGTTAGTGCAATGACATCAAATCACTGACACCAGGAATTACATTTGGTCCAGGAACTGCAGCTGGCTTGCGTGACTTTGCTTGGAGACAAATTCAGCCAAGCGATCAACATTCGTCCAGTGGTGAGCTGGAGCCGGTTCGCACCAGTTCGCTAGAACCGGTTGTTAAATTTAGAAGCCCTTTTAGAACCAGTTGTTCCGCGAGGGACAACCAGTTCTAAAAGGGCTTCTAAATTTAACTGGCCAAAAGTGGCGCCTTAGGCACTGACTCCATGGGTGCTCCAGCCCTGGCGCACCCAAGGGGAAAATTTGGTGGGTGCAGAGCACCCACCGGCAGCTCCCTGCCCCACCCCCAGCTCACCTCACCTCCGCTCCACCTCCTCCCCTGAACGCTGCTCCCCCCCCGCTTCTCCGCCCCCCCAGCCCCAGCTCACCTCCGCCTTCTCCCCTGAACGCCGGGACTCCCCACCTCGCCCCCCAGCAGGTGCCTCTGGCTCTTCGGGGTGGGGTGGGCACCCACTACGGTGGCCCACGAGACCCTCCTGCCCCGTTCTGGGGGCAGTCAGGGGACAGGGGAGGGGGGTGGATGGGGCAGGGATCCTGGGGGGAGGGAGGGCAGGGGTGGGCAACGACCCCCTCGTGGGGTGAGGAGGGAACCCATTGTTAAGATTTTGGCAGCTCATCACTGCATTCGCCCCAAATTATGTGACTCTAGCCCTAAGCTCCCTATCACCAAGAATTGTTGCCACAGCAGATCGTTATTTTCATGATTAAACCAGGGCTGAACACTTATGCCCACCCAGTGAACCTGGTCATGGCAACTGTCTGAGGTAAACTGACTAGGGGAGAGGTTTAAAAGGGCAAGCCACTGAAGTAACTTCAAATCCAGGATGTTTTTAAGAGGCCGGCACAAGGTTTCTGTTTATTTCAGAGGCTGTACTTCCATCTCAATGCATGGGGGTGCCCCACCATAATTTAAAAAAAACAAAAACAAAATACTGTGTGGAGGAGAGAACAATATTGTTCCAAGTACTGGCGCGGAATCTTTAGGGGTTTGGTTAATATTCAGAGTACAGCCAATTATATTTGTCTGAAGTCATCATCATCCAAGGACCAGCCACAACTGCCTGTCTTACGGAGGTGATTTTAAACTACGGATCAAGCTAAACTGGACTTGAAGCCTGGGGGGGGGGCGGGGATTCTTTTAAATGGTCTCAAGACAGTAGGCTATTTGTTGGAGAAGTTCTTTATTGCAGGTTTCTGAAATTAAATGTGTTTTTATCAAGTTTCACTGCACACTTTTTTTAAAGAGTCTGTTGCCACCCCCACTCCTCCTTGATGCTTGTGTGCGTGCCACTGGCTGGATTTGCTTAATGTATATTCTGAACAGTAACATAGAATCATAGAACCGGAAGGGATATCGAGAAGTCTTCTAGTCCAGTCCCCTGCACTCATGGCAGGACTAAGTATTACCTAAAGCATCCCTGACAGGTGTTTGTCTAACCTGCTCTTAAAAATCTCCAATGATGGAGATTCCACAACCTCCCTAGGTAATTTATTCCAGTGCCTAGCTACTCTGACAGTTAGGAAGTTTTTCCTAATGTCCAACCTAAACCACCCTTGCTGCAATTTAAGCCCATTGCTTCTTGTCCTATCCTCAGATGTTAAAGAGAACAATTTTTCTCCCCCCTCCTTGTAACAATTTTTTAGGAACTTGAAAATTTATGTCCACCCTCAGTCTTTTCTTCCCTAGACTAAAAGAAACATTTTTTTGCTATCTTCCCTCATAGGCCATGTTTTCTAGACCTTCTTTCTTCTCTGGACTTTCTCCAATTTGTCCACATCTTTCTTGAAATGTGGCCCCCAGAACTGGACACAATACTCAAGCTGAGGCCTAATCAGTGAGGAGTAATGGGAAGGGAGTTCACAACAATTTAATGACTGACAACAAGAACAAGTGCCAATCATCTTCCACCCTGTCAGATGGTAATCCTCTCACATGCTGCCTCACTTTCTGCAGGAGAAATTCTAGGCATAGGGGAAAGAAAAAAAACCCCAATACAGCAATAGCTTTTAACATGCTGACATTTTCCGAACTGCTAGCTAAGTAAGGAGATAGGATTGTTCTCTATAAATACATCAGAGGGATAAATACCAGGGAGGAGGAAGAGTTATTTAAGTTAAGTGCCAGTGTGGACACAAAAACAAATAGATATAAACTGACCATCAAAAAGTTTAGGCTCAAAAATAGGCAAACATATTTAACCATCAGAGGAGTGAAGTTCTGGAAGGGCCCTCCAAGGGAAGCAGTGGGGGCAAAAAAAACAACTTAACTGGCTTCAAGACTAAGCTTGATAAGTTTATGTAGGGGATGGTATGATGGAACTACCTATGAAAGCACGGGGCCTACCGGTGACTGGCACCAAAAATCCCAAATAGCTGGAGACAGAACACTAGATGGGGAGGGCTCTGAGTTACTACAGAGAATTCTTTCCCAAGGATCTGCCTGGCGAGTCTTGCCCACATGCTCAGGATCTAACTGGGGTCACACTGGGGTCAGTAAGGAATTTTCCCCAAGCTCAGATTGGCAGAGATCCTGGGATTTTTTCATCTTCCTCTGAAGCATAGGTCACTTGTAGATTTAAACTAATGTAAATTGTGAATTCTCTGTAACTTGAAGTCTTTAAACCACGATTTGAGGACTTCAGTAACTCAGCCAGAGATTGGGGTCTATTACAGGAGTCAGTGGGTGAGGTTCTATGGCCTACAATGTGCAGGAAGTTGGACCTTGTGATCATGATGGTTCCTTCTGCCC